CCCCCCACACATAAAATATCACCAGTATACTCAATGAACTGTGAAAATATGCATTTCTTGGCTGAATGAAGAAACTTCTAGAATTTTAGAAGACTTTTAGAATTTTAGGACTGTCAAAAAGAGAACACCAGTATACTTGAACTCGAGAAAACCTGTGCTCATTGGCTCACTGGAGAGGCCTCCTGGATTTCACTATCTGGCTTGAATCTACCAGCAGCTAATAGTAGAAAATGTTTCCAGAATAACAGAAAACAGCAGAGCTAAAGGAAACAAACATCTATTCTCCTGAGAACTATAAGCGCAGGTGTGAAGCGGAAGGAGTTATAGCCTCAAGGGGAGCTGGCATTCAGTTTTTTCTCTAGTGTCCATTTCTCCTGTGGATGGCAGTACAACCCTAGGTTGCTTATTTCTCATCAAGCTGTGTCTCTCAGTACACGAAATGTTGGCTAAAGAAGGCTTATATGACCTGTTCTGTTCCTCGGTTTTTAAATTCTCCATCTTAAGCATACTGACAATGGATCGTGGAAATATTAAAAGAGATGAAGGGAAATAGGATTTTTGACTTACCAGTAAAATCAATTTCTTGGAGTACAGTACAGGACACAGGCAGATTTAGAATTGACTGGAAAAATGCAGGTATCAACAGGTGATTGCACATTGGTAAGAGCGGTGAGGACCCACATAAAACCCCTCTAACACCCAAAAATCCTTAAAGATATCCCTGATAGGTTCAAAGAGAGCTTGTTATAGAGATAAAAGCACCAGATTGAGATCCCACAGCATCACTGGAGGTCATCAAGGAGGAACCTCATGTGTGACCCCCTGCATAAAGGCCACTGGAAATAGATGGCCAAGACCGATATTTGTTCCTTGGTAGTACTCAGGGTCAGGCACTAATGCAACCCTGATTGGAGAAAGGCCAAAATTTGTCCAGGAAATACTTCTCAGGATGAAACTTCAGCTGTTAGCACCAGACAAGGAAGCCCTTCAGGTACTACAGTATACCTTGGGGGAGGTGGACTTTCTAGCCTGCAAGAGTGCAGGAATAACTAAGTCAGAGAGACCTCTAGCCCTCAGGACCTGGACTTCAACATGCAAGTTATCAAATCCAGCGACCGAGAAGCAACCACAGGGAGTCTGCCAGCATCCGAAGAATGTCGATATACCATACTCTTCTGGGCCAGTTATGAACTATGGGAATCACTGAGATGACCTCCTCCTCAATCTTGTGAAGCAGACAAGGAAGGATCTTCAAGGGAGGAAGGACATAGATCAGGAAGAATTGATCCCACAGGGTTACCAGAACATCCAACAAGAAGGTTCATAGATCCCTGGACCAGGATACAAACCTATCCAGCTTGCAGTTTAATCTGGATGCCAGGAGATCCATGTCTGGTTCTCCCCAGTGGCAGCAAATCTCCTGAAACACATCGGGCTGTAGAGATCATTCTCCTGAGTCCAACCGCTGCCGACTTTGAAAGTCCATCTGTCAATTGTTCACTCCTGGAATCTGCACAGTGGTCAAGGCCAGGAAATGAAGTTCTTCCCAGGCCATCTCTTTGAGCCGCACAACTTCTTGAGGGTTGATGTACACTACGGCTGTGGTATTGTCGGGCTGCACCCTCACTGGCTGCTTTTGAAGGTGACCTGTTAAGTGCTGAAGGAAAATGTCGAATCGCTCCCTGCTCCAGAACACTGATTGATTGTCCTGATTCTATTGCCGACCATGTCCCCTCTACAGTCGAGGTCCTGAGGACACCTCCCCATCCCAACAGGCTGACATCCATCGTCAGAACAGTGCCATGAAGTGGAAGGAAGGACCTCCCTGTTTCAATGCCAGATTAGAGATCCACCAGAGCAACAAGAGTCCCGCCTTGGCTTAAGAACGATCGAGAAAGTGAGTGAGTTTGTTCCACGCGGCCAGAATGCTCAGCTGAAGTGCTCTGGAGTGGGACTGAGCATGTGGCACAGTCTTGAAGTAGGGCACCATAAGACCCAGGACCCACATGTAGAACCTCACTGGTTTTTGGCTTTTAGGGTCCTTACTTGCGAACATGGAGACAGAACCCTTACTAGGGGCAGAAACAACCAGGCTTGGTTTGTGTCCAGGAGAAGACCAAAGTATTCTAGACAGTAAATGGAATCCAATGTCGATTTCTAGAGGTTGAGAACCCATCTTAAATGCTGCAGTGTTTCAATTGTCCTGTGGATCGCTGTCCACAGAGTCAGTTCCCACTGGGCCTTCAACAGAAGTCTGTCCAAATTTCCCATAATGTGGATACACTGAGAGGCCAATAGTGCAAGGACAGGAGATAACACCTTTGTGAATACCTATAGGGTCATAGAAAAAGCTAAAGGTAAGTGCCACAAACTGGAAATATCCTTCTCCCCAAGACAAAACACAGAAAGATTCAATGCAGAGGAAAAATGGGACATGTAGGAAGGCATCCTTGATATCCACAAAAGCAAGAAAATCTCCCTCTTGAATAGAGGCAATCACTGTCTGTGCCAATCAAAACTCATGGATCAGCAGAAACTTGTTAAGAAACTTTAAGTTCAGGTTTTGGGAGTAAAACCCCTGGAACCTCTCCTCCTGAGGGACATGCACACTGACTCCTGATGTCAGCAAAATGCAGCAAGGCTCTCTGTAGAGCACCTTTCCACTGAGGAAAGGAGGGCAGATTGGAATGCATAAATCAAGGAGGGGGTGTAGGACAAAAAAACTCTAATTTGTAACCCCCTAACTATCGAGTGTACGCACAAATACTCAACATCTCAAATCGAAATGGCAGCAAAGGCCAACAGATGTCCCTCACTTGCAAAAGTAGGGGCACTTACACCCCCTGTCAGGGTTTCTTACCCTGCCTTGTCCAGTTGCTTACAGCAAAGCTGGGCGTTTTCGCACACTGTCGTTGCTCTTTGGCACCCTCTTATGTCCGCACACATCATCACTCTGCTGCACTGCTTAGACGCCTGGATCATTCCTGTCTCGCAGTAATGTAGGCACCAGGTCACTATACACTGAGTGGCCAGATTATTATGACCACCCCATCAGTACTTCGTTGGGCCACGAGATAACTCCACGAGATGTTGAAAGGTGATGCGAGGAATCTGACACTGCACTGTTGCCCTTCTGTTGTCTTGTACCAGTCTTGCCACTCTCCGTTCTGCCCTAACATTGACGAGTCGCTGACGGCCACAATTCGCACGTTCAGACCCAGATTTTCGGCTGACAGTCCAGTCTTTAAACACTTTACCAACAGCTGCTCTTGAACATTTAACGAAATTCTGCTGTTTTGCTGATACTCGCTCCATGGCTTGAGCGCCAACAATCATCCCACGTTCAAAGGCTGTTAAATCGCGTTGTCTACCCATATCTTCAGAAAAAAATCACTTCTACTGTCGTGGTAAAGAACCTGATTCCCTATTTATAATGGCCTGGCCCTCTAGAAACTTCAGCGCAAAATTATAGCTAATTTGCCAACAAACGTCAGGTGGTTATAAAAATCTGGCCACTCAGTGTATAACCTTCACCTTGTGCATTCAGTCTCCACCCTTGTGTTTGTTCTGATCAAACAAGTGTGCTGCTGCCCGATTACCATGTATGATCCTGGTTCTGGCTGACTGATCGCCTGGTTCCTGACTTCGGCTTTGTTTCAGTTCATCCTGCTCTCCATGCTCTTCAACCTGGCTTGGTTGACTACCCGGTACAGGCGACGTCCTGGACTTTCTCTTTTGTTTTTGCCATTTATCTTTATTTATTTTATCTGTTTTCAATAAACTCATTTAATTTTTTCTGTCTGGTTTCTTAGGTTCCCTAACACTCCCTTATTGTGAGGAGGTCTTGGTTGCCGTTTTGGAAAGCTCTGGGTTCAGGGCTTTGCGTATGAACTGGAATCCAGGTTTTCCCTTAGAGGTGGAATTACCTGTAAGGAACTATTTCTAAGAACTCTTTCTGAGCAAAGCTGAGTAAGACTCACTGGGAGGAACCATATGTTTCTTCTTGCTGGGTTAGAGAGTTCTCTTATTACCAGTAAACTTCTTGATGAAGATATGCAAGTCTTCTCCAAAAAGACGCTCTTCTGCGAAAGGAATGCTCTCCAGATGTTTCTTGCAAGCCGGTTTTGCTGAGCAATACTTAAAGGAGAACTACGAGGTGAGTGAAAATCACTCAACCTCATAGTTCGAGCGACGTGTGACAATGAAACTGTCACAGGTCGGATCAATAGATCGGAAAGTGAGCAAATGCAAACCGTCGCTCGCTCACTTCTCGATCTCCCTGCAGAGAGCGGCGAACGTCAGTCACCGCTCCCCGCAGGGATTCCCCCCTCCCCGCTCCGATCCTCCAGCTGACTGGAGGAATGGACGGGGGAGGGACGTCCACAGCTGGCTCTGCCGGTAGATAGGCAGAGCCAGCTGCCATTCACAGCTGGGTGGATCTCGACAGCATTGTCAGGATCCGTCACGGCTGTGGTGGTCACAGTATACCTCGAGCTGTAGCTTGCGATATACTGAGCTTTGGGTCACTGGAGGAGGTTAGTATATGTCCTCCCATGAACCTAAACAGAACTATGGGGAAAAACACTTACCCCACAGTTCTCTTTTAAGTCACATTTGCTTATGCATCTGTATGAAAAGGAGTCCCAATCTAGAAAGTTGACAAAATATGTCATCTAAGCCATACATGTAGTAGTGAAGAGCCGCTGGCAGAAGTTCCAATTGACTTAGGACCGCAGGGTCTGAGGCCATGGACCTAGGATCACGTGCCATGCATTTAGTCCAGACCACCAGGGTCTGACATACCTCCATAGAAGCCACTGCCAGCTGTAGGGTAGCCCCAAAAAGGCAAAGTAGGCCTCTAACAACCCTTCAAGGTGCTTATCTACCGTATCCTTAAAGGCTGCCACATTCTCCACTGGTACAGTCAGGGATTTGTTAAGGCATGAGATACCTGCATCCACCTCTGGCACCACCCACTTTTTGAGGATTTTTTCCTAAAGGGGCACTGCTGTGCAAATCATTTAAAAGGAACAAATACTTTTTCAGGATGCTGCCAACCTGCATAGTGCACCTCCTTTACCTGGCAGTGTGTTGGGAAGAGCTTAGTGGGCTTCTTATTCTTATGGGAACCCATACTGATGACCCCTTGGCCAGTGTACAAACATCTGATGATACTTGCGTATTACCCAGTTGTCTCTGAATCTATGTGTGTTCTCTACAGCAGTGGTTCTCAACCTGTGTAACCTCAGGACCCACATTTGTTCCTGGTCATTAAGTCGCACTGCACTGCGTGCATTGCTTGTACAACTCCCTTGCGTGCCCTGTAGAGGTGCTGGGAGCCAAAATTTGATGTCACCATGGCACCTCTATAGGACATGTGAGGAAGCTGTAACCAATGCACGTATAGATGAAGCTCCCTCAGGGCCATAGCCCAATCCCATCCCACCTCAAGCAGACACTCAGCGCCGGGCAGCATATTTTGAATGGCTGCTTAGCGCAAGAACTGACAGTGCTGTGCTAGGGGGAGCAAGACGAGCATCTCACCTAGAAAGGTGGAAGGCATGCTGCGACCCACTAAAAACGCAGTGGTGACCCACTTTTGGGTCACGACCCTCCAGTTGAGAACCAAGGCTCTACAGTATGATCAAGACATACAGTTTTAGGGCAATGTGGTAGATTTATTCCATGCTTGCTGCAACCGATCAGGCGTTATCTTTTAACCCACACAAGAGACAGTCACAATCAGGTTAACATTGGCAGCAATTACATTCTCCTTTTTCCTTAATCAAATAAAATATAGCTTTTCAAACTTTCCTTTTTCCATTTTATAACAGCTGCTTTTGTTTGTGGCTGCTTGAAGCCAGGAAGAGGGTGCTGGGGTCTGATCTGTACACAGATACTGATGTGTACCACTTTCTATCCAACAATCCAGTTAGTGTTAACCAAATGAGTAATCTTAGCATCCAAAAAAAATGGCTGTGGAAGTTTAGATGGGGCATCAAATACTGCTCAGGCTTAATGGGGCATCAAATACTGTTCAGGCTTAAAGAATGCTAGCATCCTGACACAAGTGAGCTTTAAGAGAACTAAGAGAGTGAATTACACTTATCCCTATAGAGCCAACATGCGACGCTGAAACTGTCACACGTCGGCTCTATTGATTGGGAAGGGAGAAAAAACATACCACTGATCTGTCACTTGTCGATCATCTCCCTGCAGAGAGGGGTGACTGTCAGCCAGTGCTCCCCCCGCAGGGATTCCCCTCTCCTCCAGTGCTGACTAGAGAAACAGACTGCAGAGGGGGCGGGCATAGCTGGCTAGAGAGGCAGAGCCAGCTGTCAATCAGCCAGCTGGGTGGGTCTGGGCAGTATTGGCAGAATCCGTCCTGTCTGCGACGCTCTCAGCATATAGCGGGCAATAGCCCACTATATGCTGAGTTTTGGGTCACGAGAGGATCCAGTATATGTCCTCCCGTGACCCTGAGTAGAACTATGGGCAAAAAAGGTTGCCCCATAGTGCTCCTTTAATAATACAGCTGATGAACTAATAAGTGATATGGGCACAAGTGCGACAATCAGATCTAATCATTTCAGAATAACTGGCTAGTAAAAGAATAAATAAATGTACTACCTGATCCTGTAATTGCTGGCATGTTAAATATTTCTGTTCCCGGTTGTCCAATGTCTGAAAAGTTAATTAAAAAAAACACAAATCTAAATCACAGTAAAATAAAAAGCATTTGTATCACTTAATTTACAAAACATCACGAAAAAAATCAAACATCGGGGTTCATTTAATAAAACACTGCAAATAGCCAGAGCAGAGAAAAATATATCACGTCTCCTGTTCATCCAAGAAACTTTTTTTCCCATCGCTAAACTTCAGAAAATCAATTTACCAGTAAATCTAGTTTAAAACTTGTTTTGTTTAATCACCTTAACTGCATCTGAAAGATTTTTTGTTCCCTGCCAGAAAACAGTCCCACAGGAATTGAGCCTAGCAAGCATATCAGATGAACCATTAGTCCCATAGATCAGACAGCATTTCGCTGCCTTTCAACATCAGATGTGCTGGTGGTGTAAAACTGTAGATCACTTCAGAGTGCTGAAAGATGATGTGGTTGTAGTGTCCCGTGATGATGATGACACAGCACTGCCTGTCAGTTCAGCTAACAGGTGAACTGAACAAAATACATTTTAGCAGTGAAAAGTACACCTTAAAAATACAGAACCTTTATAGTATACCTTTATTGCGGCATGCTGTGCCCTGGCAACATAGCAGGTAAAATCTCAAAAGACAGCAGACTTGTAAAGGAGCAAGCCTATCTGACTTTGCCCCAAAACAAATTTTCAAACCCCCCCAAAAAGCTAAACTTCTTCCATGTGAAAAAACAAAATGTGGAAACTCTTACTATACTCTGGCTCATTCCTGTTGGCTGTACTAAGCTTTTTAATGATTTCTTGTTTCTTGGATTTAACCATAGCAGAGGTGCTCTCAGTCAGCTTACTGAAGAACGCCGGGGGTTGAGCGCTGTTCCCTGGGGATTTCGAACCCATTCTGTGGAGAAAGACAACTCAGGTTATAAAACCATTATAAAACCTAAATGACAAGTTTCTAGCAATTATAGGTTACTTGAAAAGGCAGTCCACCCTAAGCTGATATTTCAGTTAAAAGCCCTCTAAAAATGTTTAAAAACTTTCAAATGACTGCACTTAGTATGTGGGAAAACTACTGAAGAACCCTTTGGCACAATACATAAGTATAAATCTGAACTCTGGAGGGTAATTACAGCAATGTGTACCTTAGGAACCCCATATTAAGTGCAGAAAAAGAGAGTTATGGAGTCGTTTGCAAAAGAAGGGCCTGCCACTTTGATGTTGCAGCAGGCTTTTGTGGGACTGCCAATCCCAGCAATCCAATATGCAGGGACAAGGCTGGTTTGAACTGAACTGTCTTATGTTTGCACATGTAAGTATAAAGGTATAAAAGGCTACACTTTGGCCACATCCTCCCAACTTCTTATACTGATGTTACCCTCTAGATACACCACTGGCAACATTCTAATATTCTATAAACAAAGACACTGGGACATTCTCCTATACCTCTTCAGTTCTTTCAAAGTGAGAATTTATACCTAAGAGCAGGCCTTCCGCCATCAAGAAAAAGTAAAGCATTTTTCATTTTTGTCCATTGAGAGAAAAAGGAATTCTGAACCATTTGGGTTATATTGCTGCCACGTACTGGATATTGGGACACTGTCAAACAGAAACAAATGTTGAAGGTCAGCTTCTCGTCTAACCCTGCCTCTAACCATCATGTTTCAGTTTTTTGCTAGTGTCGTAGGAGGTTGTATGCTTTTTTTCTCAGATAAAAAGTAATTGCAGTATTTACTAGCTTTTTTTTTTCTTCATACACCACTAATCTTTTTCTTCTTTTGTAATTTCATTCAAGACTTCCACACCACTGCTGGAGCTAGTCATTACATATCTTGATTGACGCATCCTCATCATGAGCTTTAGAGGGCATACCTGGACTCTACTGGCCTGAAAGAAAGGGGGGTATGCTAGAATATGGCCTCCAGGCACTTTCCAGACCTGAGTGTAATAGGAAAGTTATCAGTGGATCACTTTTTGGGTTAAGAGCAGTGGCACAGCCTTGGGCCCCATTCACACGTAGCGATTTCCGGCGTGATATCGCGCATTTGTGCCACGCGATATCGCGAGAAGTCGCCGGCTAATGATATTCAATGGAGCTGTCTTAGCTCCATGTCGCTCATCGCGGTCGCAAGTCGCTTCTACAGGACCCTTTTTTCGGCAGATTTTGCTTTTTTCTAATGGAGCCCGACGGAGAAGGTCGCGCTATCGTCGCTGGAACGTCGCCCCGAAAAGCGATATCCCGGCCGCTGCAAAAGGTATGTCGCTACGTGTGAATGGGGCCTTAGGCAAAACCCTATCTCCAAAGACCTACTCTGTGAGTAGGCCTATGAACATGCCAAGTCTAGTCTGGAATGTGACCTTCAGGCACTAGACACTGCATTGTGGAACTTTTCACAGGTGATAAGGTGATCGTTCCTAGCTCTCTGGCTAAGGTCCCTCCTACTAGTGCCACAGCTGTGGACACTTCGCTGGATCAGAGAGGCTCAGATGTCTTGTGCACAGGTTTGCTTGTCCTACTGTTTTCTGGTGTTGCTGCACCAGTATAGGGTGGTTGTCTTCCCACTCCTGTCTATTTTGGGGTACTTCTTGTAACCTTTTCCCCCTTTGTCAGTTTTCAGACTTAAGGGGGTTTCATTGGGGTTATCTTCAACCCATTCAACCCTTGACTATCCCCTTGAGGTATTATGATACATACAGTAGTTCTCTACCTTCGTTATCTCATACAAGATTGGAAGGCTATCCTAAACATCCCTACTCCTTCTTGGATCCTCTTTTCCCTGTTTCTGAAGTGTAAGACTTGGGCTTTTTGCCATCTTTAGACCAGCTGGTCTTACTTTATAGACCTGTTCACTGTTACCTTGAGAATCTGTTGATAAGCTGGGAAACCCTCAGTTTTCCCTTTGTTGACTATTCCTGTTGTTGGTCTGGTCTCCCTATTTGGATAGCTATATCACTTCTCCTGTTGGTGGTTGCTTTGGCTCACAGCTTCTACTGGTGAGGAATTAGTGTCCTTGAAGGCAGCAATTCTCTTTGGAAAGTTCCCATGTCCTGTAGGGAACTTCACTTCTTCTGGTTCAGATGCAGGCTTTGGTCCTTTTGGTTACGGCAGAAGGCTCCATGTTAAAATTGGCGGCAGCTGTTGCCCACCCCTTAGATCAGGGATGTCCAAACTCCGGCCCTCCAGCTGTGGTGAAACTACAAATCCCATGAAGCATCTCTCTCCGGGAGTCATGTCTGTGGCTGTGAGAATCTTGCAAAGCCTCATGGGATTCATTGTTCCACCACAGCTGGAGGGCCGCAGTTTGGACATCCCTGCCTCAGATGGACTCCTTTTGAAGTCCCAATTGTTTCTGCATTCCTGACTGGAATGACTGAAATTAATGCATGACTGTTAGAAGCGGGATAATGCAGGGGCTGGCCCTCAATATTTTTTTCTGTTGTGTTCCAAACCAGCAGCACATGACCCAACTGTTTCAGAATTCCTAAATTCCTGTGTCCCTCAAAGGGCTTCAAGAAAAAGATTTTACAGTAAGTAGAGATATGTTATTTTTATGTGAATATCATTATGTTTTTGTATTACTGTAAAACTATTTACCTTACCATTTGAGTCCCATTCATCATTTTAAAACAGCACAGGGATAGCGGATATTTGCCCCATCTCCCTTTTTAAAACAGCAGTACCTGCAGGTCTAAGGCTGGAACTACCAGGGATAAGGCTAGAACCCTGCATATATCACAATGTAGCGTTGAAAGAAAAATATTTTTTTTTTCTAATTTGTTTATTTATTTCAAATAAAAACCAAGGAAATAATTTGTTTCCAAATTATTATACAGGATTTATAAACTTAAAGCCCCATCTGTCCCAACAAAAACTATGTATAATAAGTTAAAGTACAACTACAAAACCTAAAAGCTATAACTGCAACCAAAACACCACTAAAACGAGAAAACCACTTTAGGAGATATGACATTTAGGGAACAACTAAAAATTACATAAGCATTTACTATGTTTTTACACGTCAGTTTTGTCATGGTATCTGGCAGGACCAGTCCATGTTATACATCTGCTGCTAGTATATCGGTTCTTCGCTGTGACATGTGTGAATGATACGGTATGCCAGTACATACATGCATGCATACATGAGCAACGTTTGTGAGTAGTTTTTATCTTTTTACTATTAAATAAATTCAAAGTCACTGTCCTTTTTGTTTGTTTTAAATGTATTTGGAGATTTCCCTGTCAGATGTGCTCTGCTGCCTCCCTCCAAGAAGACCATTTTGTTTGAAGAGAGTGATGGCACACTGTCAGCGCTGACTATTATATGTATATGATGTTGATGGTCAGGTCTATGTCTACTATATTCAGTCCTCTTGGAAACACAAATATGTTTGAAATCTAATGATACAGAAGCACATAATATAGATTTTGTTTGCTTCTAGCAGGTCTTGGAATAAAGAAAGCAGTTTAATTTTTAAATAAAGAATCATAATTATTTGAGGCAAAGGCAACATTGTCGTATTATACCAATTTAGTTGTTATTTCATTATAGAAGCAAGTTATCTATTTCAATACATGCGATTATATGCACGAGCATTAGACCCACCCATATTCTGCAATTATTGATAAATGGCTATCTCCCATTAGTAGTTGCTACTCTACAGTATGCAATTAGCAGAGGATAGTTTCATCAAAAGGCAGCTAGAAAAGCAATTGGAGGGCAGAGTTTGACTGGATATTAATGGGAAAAAAAGGCTGGCATGCTTTAAGAGTGCATTACCTTGGTTCTGTTTGCTCTCCCTCTCTATATAAAGTGGGATATGTGGAACTTCTAGTATACTCTGGCTGTCCCATGCCATCTGGTGGAGAAATAGGGTCGATACCATCTTCTGATCCACTCAGCGCAGAAACTTTGTTTTGATCTGGTGATCTAAGGATCAACGAAGCTTAGATTCATCTACTGTTCAAAGGAGTTTTAAAATAGCTTTTCTACTTACAAATAGAAAGTGGAAGACCTGTTGGTACATTCACTTGGTTACCTGTTTGAATAGTGCTCTGAACATGGTTGATAAAAAGGGTTCATGAAACTGTTAAAAGGAGCAGCTTCAAGCACTAGTAGCCTTAGAGTAATTCAAACAGATGATCGGCGGCAGCAAAATTCCATCCTGACAGCAGCAGGGGTGATATACCTCAGATTTTTCACTTTCTATTTAAAAGTTGAAAACATGCAAACTACACTTAACAGGGTCCAATTACAATGCTTCAAGAAAAAAACAACAGCTTGAACACTCATGTGAGCATATTAAAGAGAGGTAACACTATTACTGTTTTTAAAGATAATACCCTCTTTTAGTAGATGGCAACTATAACCGTAGTCTTTCCTGCAAGCTCTGCTTTTATCCTGGAGCTACCTTCTCTTTAGGATCCACTCACCTTTTTTCTCCACTGCATCCTGGAGATGCTCTTGAAGTCTGACCTGCTTCTTGTTGTTGAAGGACAGTGTCAGTGGGGTTCTGCCTTAGATCCAGCACAGGGCAGCCGGCATAATACAATGGTGCTGAGACTTGTTGGTGTAGCTGCTGTGGATGGTGCCGTGTATAATCCTGTGTAATAACCTCCTGAATTAAAACACATGAAGTATTTAGCTTATGACATGCAACTCGATGTCATCTTAATTATCAATACAGGAACATCTTCATATAATAATACAGCAAAACATTAATTTCTTACATTCTTCTGAATGTTGCACTACACACCTTCAAGATTTTAAGTCGTACAACCTCTAGTTTATGCTCCATAGGAATATATAGAGAAAGCAGAGGCAAGTGGCACATGAGGCCCTCCCAAATACTCACCTGGGCTCATCACACATTAATGGGATAGAGAAAGCAATATCATATGTTATTTTACAGTAACCAATTACAGATCAGTTTCAGCTAGTATAACTATACAAGGCTGTTATAAACCTGTATGAAGTTGCTGGTTATGGGTCTAGTTTCCTCTTCCATCCATCACTGAATGTGTATGTGGTAGAATAATCTGTATTGATGGACAGTACAATATGTACTCTTCACCTTTTATTTTGATTTGTAACTCATCATAATAATAATAAACTTGTGACGGCTGTCCACATGCAGCCTATCACTCTACTTGCAGGTGCTTCACATTAGGCTGCAGACAAGGGGAAAGTTTCACTATTTTAAAAACCTTCTTTGAAGGACCAATGGAAAAAGTCTGCATCTCCCATGAGCACCTCGGGTGTAGGCTTGCTTTGCTTTCCTCAATATAACAATGAAAAGGTAACACATACACTAATATGCTGAGCTAGGGTGACTACACGTTGACTTTTCATATGAGACCCAGACTGTGGTGTGTGACACGGGGACTGCTGGCCATCACTTTTCTGCCGCAGATGTCCTTCTGATACATGCTTCGCAGACACTGTTTGGAAAAAAAAAAGATGCAGAAATTGTTTTACTATAACATATATAGCAGCATATTTATATTGTATCTTCTTCCTGGTCTCGCAAGACTGTCTGATTATTTCCCACAAAAATGACCATATTATTCCGGTAGTAATTAGATTTAATAAGCTGAAGGAAAATCAGCAAAAACCTTTTAAAAATGACTCTGCTGTGTATGTTTTGCTACCTCTTGTGGTAGGTAATTCAAAAATTTGACTCACTGTTACTTTAAAGAACCCCTTCCTATATGGATGGTAAAAAAGTTGATCTGACAAATGTTTATAGTAACTGTTGATATATTTACACATATTAATTAGAACTCTTTTTTTTATAGCAAACTAAGGATGACTAGTTTTACTAATTGTTTATTTTAAGTGAGACATTCCATTCCATTTACTTGAGTGTCTTTGTTCCCCCGTTTGTCCTTTTCACTTGATAGTGCCCAGCCTTGTAGTTCATTTTCTAGATCTGGCATTACAAGTGACTTTAAGGCCAAATTTACAGGTGAGTATTATACTCACAGCACAAGTTTTACCTTCCCTTGGAAATATCCTAAGACTGTATATGCTTTTTTAAGCTGCTACATGGGTTTTAGTGGGGTTCCTAGCCTTCTTAGTAATGATAAGTCGTCCTTTAATCACACACTACTGGACCAAGCTGCTTTCTATTTAATGCACTGGGACTGATGCCTTTAGCACTGCCTATGTGCATAAGCTTAAATTTATCAACAAATGTATGTTTAGCCAAAACTTTGTTTTTTTTTTCAAAGTGGACTGTTCAGTTGTTGGAGATTTTCCTTCACTTTCTACTTGGTGAATCCATTGTCACCAGGACAGTAAGTGAATGGAAATCTCTCTATTAGAGCCCGAGTTAGCTGTAAAAACCTGACAGGGGTTCCTATAATTCTTCATGCTATTCAAAACTAAAAATTAAAGTGTATATGCAGCAAAAAAGAAATAAATAATTACTTATTTATAATTATTAAGCCTCTAGTACAACAAGACTGGGGACACAGAGTGCTGATATACCCTCTATATCTGGCATCTGTGCTGAGATTTTGACAGCTTTGAGCCTGAAAGTGCTCAGAACTGAGCACCTCTGTGTTGGGAGGAGATCAGGAATGGATGCTTCTGATCTTCTCCACTTGGCCAGCATCCTGAGCACCCTCGGCCATTCTGAAGCTCCCTGCACTGGTCTAGGCTCTCAGCAGGGAGAGGTGAGCCAAGGTATCAGGAGGAGAGGGGGTGTCATATGTGAGCAGCATGTAGAGGTGATCAGGTGGCTGCATAATGAGAGTACAGTGCGGTAGAGCAATGGTTATACATCAAATTCCACACTCCATTCCCACCAAAGCAGTGTGTAGCTCCCTCCTGGAAATCAGAGAGATCTCCAAAGGGTGCTGCAGCTGCACACATAGAACATACTGTATATCAGTGCATGCCCTGTATGGGGTATTGTGAAGGGAGATAGTACACATATTGTGGGCAGGAAGGGGTTTAAAACCGGTCCGAGGTTCTAACCTTTTAGTATTCTATTCAAATATTCCAAAACAATATATAGTTTTGGCTGAAGTTCCATTTCATCATCAATAAATATATCTAGCTATACATTTGAATATAATGTGCAACATTCAATAGTTTCAGTCACCTTGTTTGTGTCGCGATTCATGCTCCATGCGTGCGTTGTCAGAGTCTTGCACAGATACCCGGCCTTGCTTCTCGTGAGACATGCGAGGAGAACTCATAAGAGGACTAACTGCATCATGTCTGTCAGGGCTGTACCCACTTGGATATCCTAATCAGATGCACAGAGGTTAATAAATCTTTCCATTCAGTACTACCTACCTACTATAATGCAGCTGTGCAAAATGTTCTCACTTTGGTGGCCAAGATTCCTGTAAAAATTGGAATCCATAAGGAGACTTCAATTATACTATGCTACCAGTATGTGAAACCAGAAGAGCTCACGGCAAAAGGCCTTGGTGCCCTGGCAGAGAAATTTTGTATATGACTAGACCTTTTCTTTAGGTCATGGTTTACTGAGGATACCAACAGGTACAAATGTAACTAACTGATATTAATAGCTGTAAAGAATCATGGCAGATCTGCAGCATTGCCAGTTGTCATTACCTGTGACAAAATCATGGCAGGAGACATCATCTCTTGTAGGCGTCATTAGCTGCTGCATGTAGAGGTGTTACCTCTTAGCAGACAAGAGTCAGCAAAGACATACATCTCAACTTTCTGAGATGGGAAAGAGAGACACATTACAGCAGGGACGTATCCCCATTACACAGTCAATGGAGAGTTATAAAGTACTTTTCACCACTACAGTTGCTTTATAGCAGGGGTGCCCATTAGGTTGATCGCGCAGAAATCACTGGTAGATCGCGATGCCCCGTACTCCCGCCTAGGGGCTTCTCCTCTGGATCCCCGCTGCTCTCCCCATCTGTATGCAGCGAGGATACAAGGAGAAGTGAAGGAAGCGCTGCAGCTGGCGGCGGAGTGGTGGAGGAGGGAGACGCTATCACATAAGTAAAGGTGGCCATACACTTTACAACCATCGCAAGACCTTAGTCTTGCGATGGTTGTAAAGAAATTCTCGTACGAGAAAGGTACAGTGTATGGGCACCTTAAGGCTGAGCAGCGAGGGGAGAGAGAGAGACGCTTGGCCAGGTCTGACAGCCGGCGGCTCTCTTTCTCCTCACTGCTTGGCCATGCTGCTCTGACAGCGGCTCCCTCCACTTTCCTTCACTCCTCCTCGGATCTCCCGCTGCCTCTGCCCGGAATTATTTATAATAAAAACTATAAAAGGTGGGAAAAAAGTAATTTTCAGTTTCGGCCTGGCAAATTCTGCTGCGGGCGGTGTGTTGCAGTGCCATTTATTTCAATGGCTCCCTAAACACGCCTCCCACCCACAGTGTGATCGCCCGCACTGGAACGCATGGTACTGCAGTGCCGTGCGTTCCAGTGCAGTGCGATTGCAAAAAATTGTGCTTGTAGTTTTACTCTGAAGTAAACTTTATGTTTGTAACACTCCATTAGTGTATTTTATTTAAATTAAGGATTGTATTTTATTTATCTATTTTTATGCGATTAATCGAAAAATAATCAGCCAAATAATTGATTATGAAAATAATCATTAAATGCAGCCCTAAGTATTAGTGGTTAATACTTATATATTTTCATTATGGTAATGATGTTTCATTATGATAAGTCATTATGATGGTGCTGAATCTCCCTAAATTATGTACCACAATTTTCATGCAAACCTTTTCTTTTTATTAACCAGTTGACATCCGCGGTGTTAAACCCCCTTCCCATCCAGGCAATTTTTCAGTATTCAGCGCTGCAGTACTTTGACTGACATTTATTCCGTCATGCAACGCTGTACTGAAATGAATTTTATACCTTTTTTGGGGACAGATAGAGCTTTCTTTTGGTGGTATTTATTCACCACTGGGGGTTTTTATTTTTTTACTATATTAAGGAAAAATCCCCGAAATTTAAAAAAACAAAACAGTTTCCCCTATATTAAATGATAAAACATTTATTATTACCCAATTTTTTGGTAAAATATAAAAGACGGGGTCACGTCGGGTAAAAAGACAAACATGTCAAGCCTTAAAATTTCGTGCGCGTGCGAAACCTCAAAAACGATAATAATACCCAAAATTGCTGTTACCGCTCATCAGTTTAGTGTTATCAGTGATTGATGGCCCTAAAATGATTGCTCTCACTGCGACGTTCGCGGCGATATGTAACATGTGTAGCGCAATTGTAGTTTTTGCGCGCTGGGGCACTGAGCGCGTATTTACGTTTATAGGCGCGTAAACGTGACAGACGGCAAGTGGTTAAACGAATGACCTCTAATGTCCTGCCATTCTTTACCCAGTAAGAAAACAATTTTTAACTTTTATGAATAAAAAGGACTCTGGGAAAAACTATTCTTAACCCTGGTTGCAGGGCTACCCCCGCACTGCAAGGGTTAAGTGCTCATTTTCATCTAGGGTGTAAAATAAAAAGGCTTACAAGCCCCCCATGTGATAGCATCTTGGCAGTGACAGGTCCTCTTCAAGGTAATACTGGGTGTCCAAAAGACTCTTAGTATCACTTTTCCACCTTAAATTAGCTATTGAAGTGCAGATCGCACTTCAATAGCTTATTGCTCGGCTTCAGTAGCTGAGCAATTAAAGCTATGGAACCGGAAGTGATGTAAAGGTGGCCATACACTATACAACCATCGCAAGACCTTGGTTGTAAAGTGATTAAAAAAATGTACGATCTGCCCATCTTGGACAGGCAGATCGTACTCTCGATCATCGCAAGCCCGCCCCCCTGAGGGGCGGGCTTCCGATGACCGCAATGCTGAACGGGCAGTGTGCACACCGGCCCGTTCGGCATTTGTCTCCCGAGCACCGTTCAAACCAGCCGAAAATCGTACGATTCTCAGCTGGTTTTCTAACGTGCTCCTTAGACAAAAGACGTGCGACCGTACAGTAGAAACAGTCGCACATCCTCGTTCACACTGTTCGATTCTCGTACGATCGCGGGATTTCGGGCGATTCTCGTACGAGAATCGAGCAGTGTATGGGCACCTTTATCCTCATCGCTCCCATAGAGCAGGGAGGAGATCGGAGAACGCATGTTTGCCGCTCTCCTGCCCAGCTTCCCGCCGGCACCTGACATGCCGGGTCCCAGGCCCGCAGGAGGGGTAGTGGAGCACAGGAAACATGGCGGGGCTGTTGTGCGTGGGGAGCGGGCACTTTACCGGCGCATAGAAGTGATCTGCCAGCAGCTGAGCGGCCAGAATCACTCCCTTTGTAAAGCTGACAGTCGGCTTTACAAAAGGTAAACAGAGTAGCCGCCAGGAGTCTGTTTACAGGGCCGTGTTGCCAATGACCTACTATGGATGTCAGTGGACGCAAAGGGGTTAATACCACTTTAACCCCTGCAGTGCCTGGGTAGCTTCACTGCAAGGGTTAAGAATAATTTTTCTCAGAGATCTTCTTTAAAATCCATCAGTTGTTTTTTCCACTGTCTGTACCTCTGTGAGGAGGTTTCCATTCACTTCCTGTCAAAGAGACACAAAGGAAATCTTTTGAAACGGAAGGGAAATCGGTCAGCACACAATTAAAGACACACTGCTGTCTTCAAGAAATCATAATGAGTTGCTTGATTACATGCAGATATGTATATTCTGCTTTTAATCTACAATAGAAAAAAACTAATTGCTATAAAATCACCCATTTTAGTGAGTCCATTTTCTATTAATGTTATCACCTTATTCAAGGTACTTGGATGGTATAAGTATTCAAAGTCTAAAAGGTAAATTTATGTTTAAAAAAAAAAGACTTACATGTTTCATAGTAGCCTATTAGCAGACATTGCAACCATGATATGTTCTGCAGCTTAGACTCATTTCTGTAGAATTTGCTTTATACATACACTCATGCTGCAGTCTATAGGAAATCTTGTAGGTCCACACAAAAAGTGTACATTTTGCACAGCTGTTCACTTCCACAACTAGACAACCTTAGAACCAGAGCAGGCGATGTAGGGTACTGCTTGGCATGATTATAAGCTGTTGAATATTGCTGAAAAATGTCACAGTGAGGACACGCCACCAAGCCAAGCCACCCCAGGGTGACTGCAATCTGCCAGCAGTTAGACCCACAATCTGCATAAATAGGAGAGCAGCTAATCCTCTGGAGGCGATGGAATCACCAAATGCTGCAGCCTCTCCTGGGATCATCAGGACACAGGAGTTACTGCACTTTGGCTGAACCTTGTCTTATGATAATGACTTGCACAGGGGTTGGGGCTACCATCTGGGCCACATTTAGGAAACATTAAGGCTGTAGCAGCAGCATGCATCAGGTTGATTTTTTTTGCAAAATGGGAATGCTTAATGCAATGTATAATGACCTGGACCTGTAGGAGGTAACATAATAATAAGCCCTTAAACTGATAAATGGTTAAATAAACATGCAGCTGTGTAATATTGTAAGAATCACTGATCAGGAAGTATGGTAATACTCTTTCCTGGCTAACTTAAAACACAACTCCAAGCCTAATATTTATTAAATACACAAAGGCATGTGCATTCTTACTTGATCATAATTTCCTGTAAAACTGTAATAAAGACCAGTCGCTGCTGCTCTCTCCTTGTGCAGGGTGACTAAGGCCACTGAGGCCTGGTCTCGGGGCGGCAGGGAGCAGAGGAGGGACACATCCGCTGGGCGGGCAGTTTCTTTACATTCAGCCCTGCATTGGCCAAACAAGACTAAATGTAAAGCTGCTTGTTCATTTGTACAGCTGCTGTTTTTACAAATGATCTCGGCAATGTCACCGAGATCACTTGTATGCAGCCTGCAGGTCCGCCCCCCTCCATGGCCTGCCCCCACTTCACCTGGCTGCCCTCTGTCACCGTCGTGGTTTTCAGGGCCCCCCTGCTCTTCTGGGGGACCCGGGACCACGGCAAACACTTCAGGATGAAGAGTGGGGAGCAGAGCAGAGAACGTCCGTTCTCCACTCTGCTCCGTGTAAACAATGAGACGGAAGAGCTGCATCTGCCTCCCCATCTCAGCTGTCACAGGAGTTAAAGCACAGTGCTCTGCTAGAACTCCTGTATTGGAGGCGAAATGTTCCATAAAGAGAAAGCTATCACACAGGGGCTTGTTAGCTGCTGTGTGATAGCAATAAAGTGAAAAAAATAAAAATAAAATAAAAAAAATTAAAAATTGCTAAAAAGTAAAAAATTATAGAATAAATTAAAATCTTAAAAAACTAAGTAAAAA